GTAACCCGCAAAGTGCACATTACATTACAGTCAACAATCCTACCTGCCATTGAGCTCACCTTTGGAGAGTGTTCAGAGGCACAGGGAAAGTGTTCAGTGGCCTTGGGAAGGCGTTGGAGTTTTGACTATACACGATTTTGGCTTTACGCACTATCCCTGGAACATAACCCTCATGTAAGTTGAAAGTACAGTCATACTTTGGTTTTCAAACAGCTTAGTTCACGAACAGCTTGGAACTCGAACCCAGAAGGAGTTGTTCCAGTTTGCAAACTTTGCCTCGGAGGCCGAACATCCAGTGCTGCTTCCACGACTTCTGATTGGCTGCAGGACACTCCTGCAGCCAATCAAAAGCTGTGTCTTGGTTTCCGAACGTTTCGGAAGTCGAATGGACTTCAGGAATGCATTCTGTTTGAAAACCAAGGTATGGCTGTATTTTAAATGACACCCCAGCCCCCAGCTCTAGACATGACAGGGGCAGACCCAATCACCCTCCCATGCAATTTTGGCATAGAAGCTCTCTATGCCTATGCCAATCCCAGTATCTGTATTGCTATATTGATTCACACAGTCTATTCTGTTTCCAAAACTTTCAGGTTTAGAATGATCAAATACACCATTAGATTTTGCAGGCACCTTTCAGCTTTCCTTGAACAGATGAATGCTTTTTTTTCTTGTTTAAATTGTGCATTAGCTTGATCCTACCATTTGGATGATTTTGCACAGAGCACTCTTCTTGATGTGTGAGGATTTGTGCACATAATACTCTTTTTATGGTTAATGAGATTAACATACAAGCCCTGCCACCAAATTCAGAGTATTCACTTAAGTCATGAAACACACGCCAACTCAAATGATTTCAACCATCCCTTGCTCTGTACATTTGCCCCATAGTGAATGGATGTTAATATGGAAAGTTGAATTCCCCAGCAAACAAGAACCAATGTGCTCCGTAGCAAAGGCTGAAAAACTGATGTATATATTCTGTGGTTTCCATTTCCTTGGCTTTATTGTTTTTATGTAAATTCTCCCAGGACATTTCAGGTTATATGTCTGGAAAGCTTAGCTATCCAGCAGAGGAAAGACTGAGAGAATAATGAGAAATGTGCTGGAAGAATGCACATAAAAAGCTTTGGAGAAATGAAAATGGAAACAACAGACACTTAGAAACTTATTGCAGATTAATAAAGGAAAAAAACCCTGTCTCTTTGTGTCTGTGGGTGGGGTGTGTGAGAGCGCATAAGCACATGCACATAACTACAATTCTATCAAGGTAGCTGTGAAGCATCAGGACATTTAGCCTGAAAGAAACTCAAATGTATGAGCAGACACAGAAGAAAATCCAAGTAGCTTGTGCCATAAGAATCTTCAGATGCTCCCATCTCCCCCAGGCTGGTAAGAAGTCTATGGGAAATTCTGCAGCATTTAGCTTCCTTCATAAGAAAGAATGTGGCCACTTGTGACATCTTTGTAATGTGCATTTTATGCACGAATACACTAGTGGAAGCAAGCAGACACTTTTAGCTGGCAGCAAAACCGCTGATCCTGATCGTACATTAGAGTTCCAAACCAACAGTGTGGACCCCCATAGACCAATCAGGAATCAACTGGGCAAGCTCTAAACTCTGCTGTCTTTCACTTCCAGATTCAAACTATCTGTAAATTGCCCATTGGAGTGGGAGGTGGAGGAGATTGTCCAGCCATTAGTTGCCAATGAATGAACTTCAAACTATCTTCCCCAAAATTTTCTGGCAATAACCAAGCAATCAGCTTTCTGCTGAAGTCACAGTTGCCCTGCACCAAATTTTATACATGTAAAAATATCACACTTTCTAGTGTAAAAATATCACTTTAATACCAAGTCAAACCTCTCCTGTGTAGGAAAAAAGCCTTTTGTCTCACACATAAAAAAGGAGTTAAGAACTCCACTCCAAGCCTCTAATCTACAATTTTGTTTCAAGACCATTCTGAATGAATTTATGTTTGGCTGATGGATCAAAACACACTTGTTTACTTTTCCTCATTTCAAATCTACTAAAAAAACCAGGATTTTCAAAAGTGATCACTGACTCTGAAGCATGCCTTATGTTGCTTATACTAAATGGCACTGGAATATACTGAACACCGTGGGACTTGGGCTGTGTAAAAGGTAAAGGGACCCCTGACCATTAAGTCCAGTCGCGGACAACTCTGGGGTTGCTGTGCTCATCTCACTTTACTGGCTGAGGGAGCCGGCGGTTGTCTGCAGACAGCTTCCGGGTCATGTGGCCAGCATGACAAAGCCGCTTCTGGTGAACCAGAGCAGCGCACGGAAACACCGTTTACCTTCCTGCTGGAGCAGTACCTATTTATCTACTTGCACTTTGACGTGCTTTCGAACTGCTAGGTTGGCAGGCACACGTTGCCAACTTAAAACACAGCTAGGCATTCTTTTTCTCAATTTGGATCGAAGCTGGTTTGGGGGATAACTCATCATTCTGGGAATAACTGTATTCCATAAGAAATGGCAGGATATATTTGGGTTGTGGCTATTGTTGTGTGTTGCATCACTTCCCAAAGCAGATGCACAGTAAATGGAAGTGTGTGCACAGCCCTACTTACAAGTAAATATTATAGACTCATCTACACATGTTCTTCTGTTTAGTACTTAGAGGGTATGCCAAAAGCAATCCTAAACTGAAAAAGCAGCCGTCTGCACAGCAACAGGGTATATAGATGAAGCAATTCCTTCTTGTTTTCTTAATACAAATATTGTACTGGTCTGGGGGAGGAGAGATGGAGTTGGGGCTGCTTCATATGTATTTATCAAAAGCAGAACAGAGGTCACTTTCCTATCATTTTGCCTAAGTTACGTTGGAATGTTTAAAAACTAGAAAAGGTGGGCAGGGCCGATCACAAGGGTCTCTTGCAGTCTAGTTGTTGCCTGGCTGGGAGAACAATAAATGAGTGAAAATGTGCCGTGTGTCTAGCCATATGGTTTCTGCTTCCAAATATTACCATGGCTGTGTGGGAAGAAGCCACAGTTTCCATGCCACTGCACTCATTTATAAAGAACCTGTCAGACAAGTTTAAATTCTGGGTGGATTCTGTTGGCTTATGAACAGAAGTGATGAGACATATATATGTCCAAAAATAAAGTGAATATTTTGTTTGAAACCCGAGTTTAACATAAAGCAGAACTCAAGCAAAATAATGAAGCTATGAAGTTGTGCACAGCAGTCTTCTGCTGTTATAGTTCACTGGGATACTGGAGTGTTTCCTTTTTATAGCTTGGAATTGGTTTTTTGAGGCCTCTAATCCAATGACTCCCTTGAGGGACACACATTATCTAACAAAAGAGTACTTTCTCCTTTATTGATCAAATTTCACACATTTGGCAGGCATTCAAGCAGTTGTGAAGGCAGCACAAACATTTTAAATGGCTGGGTTTTCTCATATTAAACCAGAAGTTATGAGAAAAGGGACAGGATCCCCTTTTCAAATTTCTTGTAGAGGATTCTGTATATCAGGGGTGATGAAACTATGACCAGAGATAATGGGAGCTGGAATACAACAACATCTGGAGGGCCAGAAGTTCCCCATGACTATCTGTCATTCAACACAGAACTACACATGTAGTTTGTCGTTTACACTTGAATATTCTCTATGTGTGTTTTGAAAGGAAGGTCAGAATCAACAATGAAACTACAGGGAAGCTTGTGGGGGAGGGAAGCTTTTTCATAATTGAAAGCAGGAGTGGGTTCATTTCAGAGACTGTAATAGGTCAAAAAATGATCTGGTGAGTTTGAAGCATTGGCTAGCAAATTTTAAGAGCAGCCTTCACAGTCACCAGAGCCCTCTAAATGTTTTGGACTACAACTTCCACTTGATGCAGTACCGTTAAAACTGAGTCTCAGTTGCACTTTAATAGATGCATCTCATACTAAATTTAAAAAGAGGTACCGTAAAATGCCCAATTGTTTCACTGCCACTGGGATGGGGAACCTGTGGCCCTCCACATGGGCATAGCCAGGCTTCATGTTAGGGAAGGCAGAACCTCACTTAGTTGTATTATTTATTTATTTACTTGATGGGGGGCAGCTGCCCCCTCCCCCCGGCTACACCCATGGCCCTCCAGATCTTCCTGGATTGCAACTCGCACCAACACTCTGTTCAATTTTTGTGTGCACTTTTTAATGTGTTTTATTTATTGTTCATGACTACTATTTTAATTACTGTATGTCAATCTTCATGTTGTAAGCCACATAAAATGATGCTACACCACTGCTGTCCATCTCGATAAAGATGTGGCTACATGGAGCACACATGATAAACACAGTGTATACCACTGACCTGGCAGTTTTAGGGGAAGGTGGAGGGGGGAGAACTTTGTGAAAAGTTGACATTGAGTATGTGCCAGACACAAAGTTGTTCAGAGGACCATCAGTAAGGCTTGCTGGTGAATAATGTAAGGGCTAATCTGAACGAGTAGCTCTTTGATCCTTATTATTATTATTATTAAAATCTAACAGCAGGCCGCCCATAGTCAGTAGCTGTCTCCTCCGCAATTTGGGGTTAGTTTTCAAGTGCACTATTCGGGGATGCAGCGACTGTTCCCCCTGTTTTCTGAGCCAGGTAGACAAGCCAGGAACTCAATAGTAGTTCAAACGGGGCTCAGACAGCAGGTCCTTCTACGTGGATTCTGTAGGGACAGAGGACATTTACTGGAACGAGGCTCAAATAATCTATCTCTTGCACAACAAGCCTCTAGCTTTGTCCCGTCCTGGAACATCTGGTCTCCGCCACCTGACCTGCAGCCTTCGCAGGTCCTCAAAAAAAGAAAAAAAGACGGAATTGTCCTGTGATCAAAAGTTACAGAGCAGAGAAAGAGGCGTGGCAACCCTTTCAGCCCGCCTGCTTTAAACAGAAAGAGTGGCGTTTCCAACGCCCAATAGCAATCCAGGGAAGAGTTGCCTTCTGATTGGCTAGCCTCACGAACGTAAAGGCGGGCCTCTCCACCGTTCAAACCGGCGGCGGCAAGGAAAGAAGGCAAGAGCAGCTGCTGTTTCCCCTGCTGGGCCCGTCGCCATGGAGACGCTCCTCTCTCAAGCCGAGCTGCTGCCCAGCCTCTTGGCGGCGTCGCGCTCGGGCCTGGTGCGAGGCTGGGACGCGGCGGCCGTGCGCCGGGCCCTGAGCTGGGGCCGCTTCTTCCAGGGGCTGCACGCCCGCCTCCCGCCCGAGCGCGGCATCTGGGCCTCTGTGGAGCGGCGCCTGCGCAGCCGGGGAGCGCCGCTCGGCCTCGGCCACTTGAAGCGCTGCCCGGAGCTGCTGGGCCTGGCGCTGCTGGAGAACCGCGCGCTGCCCTCCGACGCCTGCCGCGCCCTCCTGCGCGCCCTCCTGCACGGCGAGGACGGGGAGCTCCGCGCCCACCGCCTGGCGAGGCGAAAGGCGGCCGCCCAGCTCCTCCTCCTCCTCCCTTCGGCGCCTTCTCCTCCTCACGAGGCCCCTCCGGCCAGAGCCCAGGGGCAGCTGCTGCTGGCGCGGCTGCGGGAGGAAGGCGGCGAGGAGGGGGCCCTCCTGGACCAGCTGCCCTGCGGCCCCGCGCTGCACAGGGCAGTGGCGGCGGCGCTGCTGGAGCCCGGCGGCGAAGCGGAAGCCAGGGCGGCGCTGCTCCCTTGGCTGCTGCAGCAGCAGCAACAGCAGCCTCGCCTGGCCGCCTTCTTCCGCCTGCTGCCGGCCTCGTGGGCGGCCTCGCTTTGCAGCCGCCACCCTGAGCTGCGCGCCCCTTACTTGAGCCTCTTGGCGGCCTGGGGGAGCCGGCTCCGTTACGACCCGCTGCGCGGGGAGTGGGGGGCCGGCGGCCTAGAAGAAGGCGCGGCGGCGCCTTGGCAGGAGGTGAGGGAGCGTGTCGGCTGCCTCTGCCAAGGGCCGGAGCCTCTACGCAGCGCGGTGCTGGCGCAGCTCAGAGACCTGAAAGCCCAGGATGGGGGCTTTGAAGTACGAGGCCTGAGTGTTTGGACTGATCTCCTGCTGGACGTGCAGGCGTCTGCTTGGAAAGAAAAGCTCCTCGCGCGAAGCCTTCCCCCGTCAGCCAAATCATTTGAAAACCTAGAATGAAAAACAAACACTATACCTAAAGGAAAGATGACTGTGTATTGATTCTCCATTCAGAACTACTCACTTAAGATCAAGTGGCCTCCAGGTTCCCAGTGTCTTAACTCTTTTTTTGTTTTGTTTTCCAGCAGAGGATTGCTTCATGTAAAGGAATGTGTTCCTATGTATTCTCAGTTTTAGGTTTTCACTCCCAAGTGTAACAGTGCAATTAAATCACATAGAATAGATTCTCCCTCATGTGCTTTGTCATCTTCAGCCCTTCGTTATAGAGTAAAAAGAAAGTTATTCTAAAAAGTGTATTAAAAAAAAGTACTAGTTGCACCTTACATGCTCAGAAGTGCATGTTGAAAATCACATTATTATGGATGCAATGCTAGTGATTTATGTATGTGTAAATGTTATTAGGACGAACCAAAGTGATGCAAGAGAGTGTGCAAGCATTTGAGTTCTGCAGAACACTGTTTTGACACTTAGGTCCTTGTCAAACTGAAATGTTCTTAATGGGACAACATGGCTTCCTGTCCTTTTTGTATGTCTCTGTAATGTGTAGGTGAGACTGCCATGTCTACCAAAAGATTAGAACAAAGATTTGCATCCTGAATTCTGGAGCAATCACAAATTGTTACAAAATTACCCAGCACTAAACATTTTTAAAAGCTCACACAAGTAGTTCTCTACATGTTGATACACTGTGGACATTGCTGTGTAGGCTCTGCTATTGAGCTTGTGAATCTTGGCTAAACATAGGGAGGAATATTTACCTGAGGTAGTTGTATTTCCCAGTCAGTTATCAGCAACTTAATCAGTATTCATGACTTAACTGACTCATATTTTGGTTGTCAGCAGTGATATAGGTGAAGAACCTCTTGTAAAACACTGTGGCAGTGTGAAGTGTGTCTCCTGTCAATACTCTTCTACAAATACAAAACACTGATTTGTTTTGACATATTGTATTGGATAGGTCCACTTAAGAGATTTCCTCTTACGTCCATAGAGCCACATGTGGGCCCATAGTCTTTTTCACTGTTATGTTTTTGTTTTGTTTTTTTTGGTGACCATAGCCAATTGAGACCAGATCTTCAACATTCAGTAAAGTAAAAATGGGGCTATTGCTACCACATATGTGTGTTCATGTGTAATTTGCATGATTATTGCCTATATTTAAGTGGTGTTTGTGTAGAAATCGTTACGATCCTTGATTTTCCTTGTATTGTTGATGGCCTGCAGTTGCAATATTGGAAAGTATCCCTGCTTGTTAGGCTGGTCAGGAAGTCTTTGCTGCTTGCTTGGTTCTAGTTGCTTGAAATTATAAATACTTGTTCCTAATTATGTCTTTATTATAATACAACTTTGAATTTCCATGTAATAATATGACTTCTGTGGATAGGTCCAGTGCAGTGGTCTCAAACTAATATATGCATTAATAGTAACACAGCAGAGACTGGTCTCATCACTTCAGGTTTTCAAGCTCTATATTAAACATTTGCCATGTACATCTGAAATTTGTGGGTGGTATTTGACTCATTTTTACTCAATAGACCCATTGAAATTTGTGAACGTGACTATGTTAGGGTTATTAATTTCAATGGATCTGCTCTAAGTAAAATCAGTAGAATACCACCCACCATTAAGCCAATGCTATCTGAATTGTACTCTCTGTGTGAGGAAAGATGGGTAGAAATTTTTAAAAAACCCTGTATTTTTGAGCTACAAAACAAGGAACCATCTAAGTTATTAGTGTAGAACTGGTTCCAATCAATTTATTATGTATAGTGGCAAAAGTGCAGAAGTTCTCAAAGCAGAATGTAACCATTTTGTGTCTACTTATGCCCAATGATTTGTTGCCTTTGTTGTATTTGTGCCAATAGAAGGAATACATATGTGTTAACTTGGAATAGACAGAAGTTGACTTTTTTGAATCCAAGTAATGAGATTAGAAATAAATGCTGTAAGCCTTATACTGACGTATCTTTGTCCACTATCAGAACATGCCTGACAGAAGTCTTGGGCTGCCATTCCCTCTTGGGCACTCCACAGAAATACTTTCTTGTTCTTGGGAAACCATATTTTGTTTCAGTATCCAAGCCAACAAACTACTCTGTCTTGCAAATAAAAGAAGGCTTATCATAGTCACACTTTCATAAGGGCTAATCAAATAGTACTCAGTAGGGTTTACTTATGAGTAAATATACATGTTGCTATGTGTTTCACTGATGCATATCAGTGCTTTACTTTTTGAAAGTGTTCCATTATAGCTGCTGTTTCACATTGGATCTATTCAGCATCCCTAAGCATGTTTACTTAAAAAAAGAAGAGAAGTTTCGCTGAGTTCAGTGGGACACAGTCCCCTGGTGTAAGTTTGCAGCTTTGGTGCTTTATCAATCTATTGGAGATTTGGTTAAAGTTGTGGCAATTTCAGGTATGGCCAGTTCGCTTTCTTTGGCATAAATCCTAGATTTAAAGCTACTCTGATCATTTCAGTTAGTGCCGTGTGTGTGTGTGTGTGTGAGTGAGAGAGAGAGAGAGAGAGAGAGAGATGCTGAGTTTGTAAAGAAGTCTCACTGCAGTTGTAACACTATGGAAAGGTTACATAGCTATCAACCCACAGAGCTATGAGTTCAATACGGTTGCTAATTTGTTGGCTTCAAAAAAGCACTAATTAAGTATGATGTTATTAAAAATAGTTTTCTAGCCTTGAGTGCAGAATATTAGAGGATTAGCAATGCAATTCTATTGGTGGGTTTACTCCCAGGTAAGTGTAGCCTAAGCCTTTTTATTCTGCCATACCACCATGTCAGAAGCCATAACATGATCCCTTAAAGAATCATTCTGAAGAACAGGAAGCTGCCTCATACCTAATCGGGCCATTGGTCCCTCTAGGTCAGTACTGTACTGTCTACACCAGGAGTCAGGAATCTTTTGCAGCCCAAGGGCTGCATTTCCCTCTACACAACTTTTTGAGGGACACATGCCAGTGTTGGATGGGGCCAGAGACAAGAGTGGTTAGTTTCTTCACATGCAGTAGGTTAGTTTCTTCACATGTACTCTCTATCCAGGCAAGCAATAGGCATTATTGGAGTTTGATAACATATTCCAGCCACATCAAAACACTTGGCATGCAAAGCAGGGTCCAGGAGGGGTGTAACCTGGGAAGAATTCCAAGGGCCAGTTAGGCAACCCTGGTCTGCACTGGTAGCACTCTCCAGGGTTTCAAGTAGGAGACTTTACCAGCTGTGTCTAGAGATGCTGGGGATTGAACCAGGGACCTTCAGATTGCAAAGCAGATGCTCTTACCATGGAGCTACAGCCATTCCAGCTAAATAATTCCATCACTTATTTCTAGCAAAGTGGTATGTTTGGGTTGTGTGTAAAATGCACACATGCATAAATTTTATAGGTTAGTAAATTCATTAATTTCTTATTAATGTAAATGGTTTAGGTTGGAACAATTGATTTCTCTTGGGCTTTAATTGGATATGATCAATCGTGAATCACAAGTGAAACAACAAGGTCATTCATCAGCTGCTTAATGTTGTAATGGGCTATGCTTGCCCTTTCAGCTGAGAAAAGATGGAGAGCCCTAAGGGAATGAGATTTAAATTATCGTGCTGCTGACAATTAAATGTGTGTACTGCTGTCTCTTACAGCCTCATTAGTCTTAATACTGGGGTGAAAGCTGCTGAGTTCAGAACGGGTCCATAATATGTTATGAGAGCTTTGTAATTTTGTTCTGCGTTTTTAGAATTTGAATCTCCCTTATGCTTGTCATGTAACAACTACAGGGGAAATTAAAAGCAAATCCATGATGCACCAAAAACAACTGGTGTAAACTGATGGTTTGGGCTGGCTTACTTTTATGGCACCATAACTACTTTGAACTCTGCATTTATGTGCTTTGAACCTGCAAACAGAACAGTGAAGAAGTGACATCCCACTATCCTATCCATATTAGAGATAAGAATAGATCCATACCAAAGCACGACTGTTGGGCTGTTTCCACTACAGGACAGAGCAGACAGAATCACATACATTCCTTCTCTGCAGCCATAGATGCAAGCACATATTATTTCCATTGGTAGGAAAGTTCCTCTTTACCAGATCATTTCTCCCCCTTTGGGGCAGGAATCAGACTCCTGGCAGGGCTAAAGTCTACATACCTCACAAGCCTCTCCTTTTCTCCACACCTCCCACATTCTGCTTGTGTTTTCTGATGAATCTCTCCCCTGGATTATCATCATAGTTGCAGTTGGCCAAACCATCATGAAGGAAGCTGCTTTGCACATGGCATGGGACATGCTATTTATTTCTAACTAAAGTGCCTAAAATCTAGACTGTACAAAAATAGAATGCAATCGAATCTCTCTTAGCAAGCCTACAATCTTAAATAAAACCAGACACAGGAGGGTGCAGAAAGCAAGAAGGAATGAAGGAGAACAGGTTGCCAATAGTTTGACCACAATAAGAGTGCAAAAATAACATTGAGATGTTAACAAACATCATTCCTTTAGGGAAGTGGCTGGGCTGCAGGGTTGTGATGATAAGTGGTTATTGTGGGTATGCCACCCTCAGTTTGGAGGAAGGGAGAGGTACAAATCTGACAAATGTACTGGGCTGCAACAGGACAAACCTTTCTACTGCTAGATGGTGTAGAACTTTATTTTCACTTCCATATCCTTGTGAACAACTAAAGTGCCCATTTCATTTCAAAATATCTCTGAGGAAGCTAAGGATGTTCCAGTGTAACTAGAGAGAGAGAGAGCTGAGGACATCCTCTTGTGCATCAAATGCATGGTATTCATGTGAGAGAACCATTCTGGGTTGCCTATTTTCCAAGCCTGACATGACATACCAATTTGGAAAAATATTTAGTGGATTATTCTAGTGGTATGCAAATAGGGATTCGCAAAGTGTGGTCTGTGGACCACAAGTGGGCCATGTTTTTCATTCAGGTGGTCCACAATGAGAGTTTTGTAGAGAAGCTATGTGCAGGTGAAGGATGGGGAGCACAGCAACTGTTCCATCATTCTTGGATCCAGCGGAATGCCTGGAAGGTGGGTGGAAAGAACTGGAAGTGGCAGAGAGAGGAGGCTCATGCATCCTCAGAGGAATAAAACCACAGCTGGCCGCATAACACTGGAAGGTCTCAAGCAGGAGGGAAAGGCTGACAAGACACTTAAAAAGAGGAGAAAGTGAATACATACTTAAGCATCTTGCACAGTGCAGTACAATGGCTAAGTAGGCAGAAAAATCATGTGGTCTACCAAGTCCCTCAGCAATTTTCATGTGGTCAGTTGGGGGGGCCATCACTGATGTAGAGCATTTATTTAGCTTATCATTTCTTAAGTTATTCAATGCTATTGCTGGCATCCACCTATCTCAAGAGACAATAGAATATGCCTCCAGGGATGAAAGTCAAACCACTGCATTAGCAGCACTGAAATGACCTCCCTGGAGTGCAAGCCTTAGCAGTGTGTATGGAGGTCATGGTAAAGGACCCCTCGATGGTTAAGTCCAGTCAAAGGCGACTGTGGAGTTGCAGTGCTCATCTCGCTTTTCAGGCCAAGCGAGCCGGCATTTGTCTACAGACAGCTTTCCGGGTCATGTGGCCAGCATGACTAAACCACTTCTGGCGCAATGGAACACCGTGATGGAAGCCAGAGCTCACGGAAATGCCATTTACCTTCCCTCCGCAGAGGTACCTATTTATCTACTTGCACTGGTGTGCTTTCAAACTGCTAGGTTGGCAGGTGCTGGGACAGAGCAAAGGGAGCTCACCCCGTTGCGCAGATTCGAACCGCCGACCTTCTGATCAGCAAGCCCAAGAGGCTCAGTGGTTTAGACCACTGCGCCACCTGCTCCCCTGGAGGTGCCACTCACTCCCCAGACAAGACTTCCCTTTCTGCCTCGCTTATGTGTTCCAAAGGAAAGGAAAGCAATACATTTGGTACCAGCTTGGCTGCAGGAGTTGCCAGAAGGAGGCGTACAAGGCACCATCCCAGCATATTAGGGACTCCACTCTGGATTCGTGTAGGGTTTACTCATGAGCCTTTTCTTCCCCTAAAGATACCTCACAGGGCAGTGCTATAAACTACTTTAAAATGTTATTGCCTCTTCAAGCAATTGTAGTTTTATGAGGATAGGGGGTAAAGTGAATAACTAAACTTCAATGCAAGACTGCAGCAGCATCATTTTTATTAAGACCGTAAGAAAATCCCTGCTGGGTCATGCCAGAGGTCCATTTAGTCCAGCATCCTGTTCTCACAGTGGGCAAGCAGATGCCTGTGCGAATTCAGCAAGCCAAACCTGACCTCTCCCTGCTTCTGATTCCCAGGAACTGGTATTTATTCTCTGAGGCTGCAATCTTAGATCAATTTTCCTGGGACTAAGCCCCATTTAACTCCATGGGATTTATTTCTAAGTACCCATGTACAGAACTGCACTGTAATTTGATCATAATCTGGTTGCTGGATTTAAGAGAGGCAGTGTTGCTCCATACTGTGACAGGTATGTGTTAACCTTCTCCCAGAATAAGAACTAATGGCATGGCTTACATCATTAGAAGAATAATGTGACAGGCACCAAGCACATTGTTGGAATGATGAGATAGGTTTAGGTGTAGGAATGGCTAATTTGCTGGAAGTGCATGAGACGTCTTGCAAGTCAGCTTAGATAGGGATGCATCTGGATTTACTATAATAGCCAAAGCAAATGGCAAGCGTGCCCCTTTTATTAATTGCAAGAGAGGAACACACTGGATCCTGTGCATGACACCAGCAAATTGGTCCCAGTAGTATCTGCTATTTTACTCTGTCATTATAGCCTCTAGCAAAGACACTATATTTGAGCAGTGTATGGTATCTGCAACCTATTAAGGATGCTGTTCCCTTATTTTATAGTTTAGTTCCATGAATACACTTCTCCAGCAGAAGATCATTTACCGCTGAAACTTTGGAACACAGAATTTTTAAAGTGCAATTACTTTTGGTTTATGAGCCAGCTGTTGTGGGGTGGGGGAAGGGAAAAGATTAGGTTGTTTTTGTTTTTTGGTTTACATTAACCCTGCAGTTCATCCTATACGACTTGCTATTTCAGCACCAAGAGGAATTGAATTTAGATTTACAATGTGTAATCTATTAATATATGTGCAGGGCATAATCTCCTAATGCTCGCATATATTTTTAGTTATGTGTGATGGTTTTAAGAATCTTGACTTTAATGGTAGCGAAGTGTAGTATTAAACCCTTTATTTATGTGAGGCCATGCAATTTATATTTAGGGTCCCCCCCCACTCCCCAATCTGTTTCTTTGCTATGATGGATTGATGTGAATTGCACGCAAAGCCACAAGTCCTTTATTTAAAATATTTTAATTTAATATCTAAGTGAACCATGTGCCATGGAATATGAATGTTTTAGTTTAAGGATGATGTGTATCATGAAAAATTACAACCCACTCTATTTATACATATGTAAGTCTAAAAGATACTAAAGTCTCAAAACTATATCTGCTCAGGCCCCAGATGCAGTTAACCATGCAGTATAGCAATATAAATTATGGCTTAGAACCGTAGCTCAGTGGTAGAGCATATGCTTTCCATCTCTGGGTAGCGTTGGGAGAGTCCTACTGGAAACTCTGGAGAATCGCAGCTTGTCAGTGATAACACTGAGCCAGATGGACTAAATGGCCTGATTCTGTATCAGGTAACAATCTGTGTTCCATTGCTTATGTTGATTCTATGGCATAATTATTCCTATACATTTTAACCAAATCCTATGTTGATACCATTGCATCATTGTAACTGTACCACTTGCGTATTGCCAGAAGCCATATGGGAACTTTCCTCCAATCAGTAACTTATTTCCAAACAATGATGTGGGACTGTTTGTTTCATAATCTTCTGCACCCAACTCAAATTTCCACAGTAGAAGCTGAACGTTTGAAACTTGCATGCATTAAGTGACTGCTTGTGATAATTTTTAGGGGTGTGCATCAGCTCTGTGAATACCTCCAAGAATGAAGCAAAGCTTTTTTCACTGCCACCACTGCTATGCAGTAGGCGCAGATATGTTGGGTCTGTGTTTGGGGCATATTCATCCTGAGGGATGTTTCATTGGAGCATTAGAGAGGACACTTGGGATAGATGCTGTCAAGAGCATAAATAGGAGTATTGACTGTGTCGGCTGAATAATCCCCCAGGGTATTCAAGAATCCATGAGATTCCCTAAGTCTCTGAGGGCAGGCCAGCTAAATAGTCCCTCATCCCTGCAGTGGGGTGCCACTATTGTCAAACAATACCTTATCAGGCAGT